GCCCCGCCAGTGCCCCGCCCCGCCAGTGCCCCGCCCCCAGGCGGCCTCGGGTGCCGAAGCGCCTTCCGGGAAGAGCCGAGACAGCGCCCGCGGGAACTCGCGGCCGAGCTTCTCCGGCTGGCTGGGTTAACCCTCCAGCTCCGGACGCGCCCCCTCGCGCTGGCTCCTGGGTGCCTTGCCGTCTCATTCCAGTCCAGGTGGCTGCTAGGGGTGGGCCAACTAGAGGAACGGGAACGGCTGGGTCACGCAAGTCGCCTCAGCCACTGGGCACAGAGCGAGACCTGTGGCTCTCCCTCCCTGGCACACAATCCCCGACTCCCAGGGCGACCCCGGCCCACAGTGCCCACACTGGGGTGGGACCCAGGGCCTCTGCAGATCTACATCCCCAGCTTTTTCTTATTTTGAGCAAGGGTCCCACCAGATTGCCCAGGCAGCCTGAATTTGGGGTCTTCCTGCCCGTGGAGGCGCCTATTTTAAAAACAGGCACTTCAGGTGTATTTGGGCTACACTTGTCGAGAGTCTGGCTCGCTATTCCCGGGACCTAACGATGCAGAAAGGCCGGAAGACGGCTCCAACCTCTGGGGACCCCACTTATCATCTATAGAGGGGTACTCTGTGAAGGCAGCCGAGCAGCTACTCCCTGGGCTGGGGCTCGGGCCCTGGGTAGCGCTGGTGGGACAGTGCAGGGGAGGTGGAGCCCCAAGGATGAGTCTGCAGAAGAAGCGGTCAGTCCATAAATACATGCTCCTTTATTATATAGAGAAGGGATACATTTCTTTGGGGATAAATTCAAGAACAGGTCCTAACTTTATTCACTTGTGATGTCCTCACAGGCAAGCAGCACAATCTAGGAAAAGCTAAAATAATCCTGTTTAAAAAAGTTACCTTCCAGCAGTTCATAACAAGAGGGACAGAATTCAAAACAAAACAAAACCAGGATACTTTTGTTTCTGAATACAGAAGCTGGGGAAGGAGTTTCCACCAGACTCCTGCAAAAGAAAGACAAGACTTCTGCACAGTGTGGGGGAGGCCTCTTAGCCCACAGATGCCAAGATGATGTCAACTGGAAGCTCCTCTGAACTTCGGGCTGTCACCTGCATTGTCACTGTGTCCAAAAGCAGTAGCCGGGAGCGCACGAGGATGTCATGACCACCCCGGAACACGCCTGGTGGGGAAGAGAGAGGTAAGGCTGAGTGAGGCAGAAGCGCTGCGGGCCAGGCTGAGGCTGCGGTTCACAGCAGCTGATCAAGGCGGCCCTGGAGGACAGCGGGGTGAGGTGCCTGCACAAGTCACTCGGCCTCATTGAACCCCAGGACCTGCAACCACAGAGCGGAGGGAGTAAGGGTACTAACCATCAGTCAGCTCCTGCCCAGCTCCAATGAGTTCTTGGAACGTAAGGCCAGTACCTGATGTCACATGGGCACTCCTACAGGAACAGTAGCACCAACAGCAAACCGCACAGCAGGTGGCTACAAGGCCCAGGGAACCGAGCTGTCACAATGTGACCAGAAAGGATGGGCGTGGGAGCTAGCAACTGTGAGCCGGTGTTCATAAACATGCAAAGTTTTAGAAAACCCCATTTCCTTCCGCTGTTTTAGGTGTAACTGTATTGCACATAGCATCGTTATCTCATAGAGATGTGCAGATATGGAAATATTCACATATAAAATGCTGAGGGGTGAGTGCAGGTGCTGCCAGTGTGCAGGCTGGAAGATGAGCACTGGAGTTCCTTACACTCTTCCGTCTTTGTGTATGTTTGAAAACTTCTAAGTGGAAATGCTTGAATACCTATTGGCTGTGCTGGGGATCTAATTCAGGGCCTCCCACATGCAATGTAGCTGCTGTACCGCTGAGCTCAATCCCTGCCCCAAATGCCTATTTTTGTTAGTAAAGAGCAACCAGCCAGGCATGGTGGCATAGGCCTGTGATCCCAGCACTTGGGAGGCTGAGGCAGGACTGCTATGAGTTCAAGAACAGCCTGGACTACATAGTAAGTTCAAAGCCAGTCTGCACTATGTAGCGAGACTCTATCTCAAACCCCCTCCCCCGCAAAAATAGAGAAAAGAAGGAAAGAAAAGAGCAACCAGAGAGGGGTCTGGTGGTGCATGCCTGTAATCTCAGCACTTGTGAGGCTGAAGCAGGAGGACTGCCACAACTTTCAGGCCAGCCTAGGCTACACAGCAAGACCCTGTCTCAAAAAAAACAAAACAGTAACAAAAAAGAGCAGCCATGTCTGTAGACCCTTAGACAAAGAAAAGTAGCCATGCCACTGCACAGAAATACAAATGGAAGGTGGTTAACTTCATCCCAAACAGAAGAAATGGACATTAAAACTACATGAAGATACTGTTTTTTCACCCAGACTGGCAAAAGTCATAAAATTTGATGATATCCTCTGTTGTCCACAGGAAAGGTATAGGATTCTTCTTTTTTCTTTTCTTTTTTTTTTTTTTTTTGAGGGCAGGGGTTTCACTACGTAGTTCAGGCTGCCTTTGAACTC